AATATATCTTTTACTATTTATAAAAACTAATTTTACAAAATTATTAATTATATCTATTAAGACTTATGTTTATAAATAGTAATAAATTAAATAAATTATCAGAATATCTTATGAAATAATCATGCAGTTTTTTGTTAAGTTAGGTTTCAGTTAAGTAATTAAAATCAATCTTTATTTTAATCCCTTCATTTAGCTTACTGTTCTTTGTTTGGATTATTAATAAAATGTAGTATCATTTAACATTAAATCTCTATAAATGTTAATTAATATCAGTTTTTTTTAAAGGAGATCTTAATAAATATACCCTACATTTCCTTAAAATGGAATACTTTTGGAAAATTTGTATGAATATTAAGAAATCAAAATAAAGAGTAGAGCAAAAAAAAGATATAATTAAAAAAATATAAAGAAAGAATTAAAATAATAATTGTAATGTTCTTTATGAATAATAATTATCACTTTTACTTAAGATCTTCCAAAAAGCAACTTCCTTTTTGTTTAAACAATGTCTTTAAATCAATACCTGATTGATTTATAAATTCTCCTTACAATATAAGTGTACCTCTTGCTTCTAATAAAGGATTCTGACAAATCCTTAGTATTGTACGATCTGGCTCAACTAAATAATAATAAATAACAAATACCATTTGGTAATAATGAGCTATTCTATAGTGGTATTTTAAACTAGGTAAGAATATCTTTATATTTATTATCAGAGGATTTAATTTCTTATCCTGTCTTTACATCCCAAAGACGGATAGACTTATCATCACTACCAGAAGCTAATGTTACTAAAATGGAAATTAATTTAGCACATTTAAAAATATTATGAATAGAACTTTTAGTTGCATGAATGCAATAATAACTTAATTCTTTGTATACTATTTTTTTGGTATTATTCTTATCATAATCAAGCTTTTTCTCTCAATTTATATTTAGAATGTGAATTGTACAAGATTTATAAAGTAGATTTTACAACTAAATCTTTCAGCATTTATCATTTCTAAGTTTTCTAATCTTCGTATTTCTTGAAAGTCAATATATTCTAATATTCACAAAATAATTTTTTTCTCAACTCATATTTAATTAACAGTAATACTATTATTTTTTATTTAATTGATCTTATAAACTTTAAATTTTAACAATGTTATTGAAAAATTTATTTTGGAAATTTAAGAGAAAATACCCAAGTGTGACTAATATTAATGCTTTTTTATATATTTAAATAATTAATCGTTCAATTTATCTTAAGTGGTTGTTATAGAGAATAGAGAAGATAAATTTTATTAAGATAATCATTGTGTTTATCAAATACCAATAAATATTTCCTTTTTAATTCTACAATTTAGGTGCAATTTCTGAATTTAATTGTAAAATATAACCAGTTGATCAGTTTTTAAAGACTTATAGTATATTATTTTTGAATAGATATTGATTAATTTTGTAAAAATCATAACAGTGATTATACATTGAGTAATAACTGTTTATTATTTGATGTATGTAAAATTTCACGTTGAACTCAAGGTAATCAATAATTAAGATTCATATATAATAAGGTTAGAGAAGATATAATTATCTCCTTAAATCTTAATAATTACAAAATTATACTACTTTTTTAATATGTTTTCAAAGTTTTTTAAATATCTTATCAATTAACAGGTGATTGATACATTATCTTGAATTGAGAGTAATGTTAAAATTAATCAATATCATATTGTTTTAACTTTGTTTTATAGTTTAGAAGATTAACTCT